TCTGAGCATTGAAAATAATAATGGTAATTATCTGATCTCATCACCCAACAAACAGATTCAGTGAAACTCTCCTCCATACATTCAATCAATCGGCATTGGGGCAGATACGTTAAGGCTAACTTCTGATCAGAATCCTTCGTGCACCTTGTGAAGGAAAGTGTAATGCTAGCGTTTGTCCATCTGGGGGCGCTAACGGCCTGCATATGGAGGGCCAATAGAGGGGCAGCCGCAGATAATCGTGGAATAGACAGTGCAGCTGGAGATGCAAGGAAGAGAGAGGAGGAGAGTGGGATGAAGGAGAGGAAATACATTCTTGTGCTAGATTTTAAAAAATGAAATAAAAACCTCTCATTCCAAACATGTGAGTGTGAGGAACACGTGGAACCCGTGAGCTCCTGAGAAACAAGGAATGGCTTCAACTGAGCTGCCGAAGAAGGAAAACTGAATTTGGGTCTTAACTTCACACACATGTATTGGAAGTGTTGAAGCGCCACTGCACTATGCATCTTGAGAATCTCCCTAGAGTGTGCTTTGGCAACAGGGTTATTCTTGCACATGACTTTTTGTCTTGAGGGGCTTCACATGTGCTTCGGTGCCCGTCTAGATGGCTGCGTGATCCAGATGTGGTTGTTGCCATGGCCAGGGAGGATATGCAGGGCTTTAAGCGTTACGTAAAGCACGGGGCGGGAGGGAGTGGGGATGTTATTCCCGGGTATTCGTATCCGGGTAGACCAGAATGAAGAGAGCGAAGTCGAGAGGAGGGGAAGCGAAAAAAACACTGCAATGCGATGGAGTAAAGGGTTAAAAGTAAAAAGTGTCATACATTTATGTAAAGAAAAAAAAACACGAGACAGAAAGAAAAGGAAAGCATGAAGAGGGCAGAGAAAATGATACTTATCTGAGTGCAAGATAACAGCGCAAAAAAGGTGAGCGACGGAGACAGAGATATCAGAGAATTATGCCCATAATAATATACAATGGCTATACAGTTATTTGGAGCTCGATTATTTGAAACGGTGGGTTGTTTGCATATCATTTTTCCACATATCTCATACAACATTCATTTAAGATGCTGAAGGAGCCCAGGTGAGCCCCCTCATTCTGAAGAAACAACGGTGATGACGATGCTCGCAGACACAATCACTCGGCGCAGTGTGTACGAGTGTCTGTTGTGTTGTGTTTCTGGAGAGAACATGAACTCAAGACTCATGTTCAACCTTCACACCGGGGGTCCTCTCCGTGGAAGGGGGCACCGGGCCTCCCACACTCTGTTGATTGAAGTTGATGGTCGAGAATGCAACAAAAGTAAACTGTTTCCTACAGGTCCATTCCTGTGATAAGCGTTTTCATTTTCAGAATACCAGAAAACAGTGGTGGGAGTGGAAATGGAAATTGCAAATATGAAATATATTTGGCCTGGAACACTTCACTCACTGCTTAAATTATATAGATTATTCAGCGTCGTTTCTGTTGACTAAAACACGGACTAAATATAATGACCAAATGTTGATTAATGTGTTAACATATTTCAGCAAGTTGAGGATCTTCCTCTAAAAATATTACAGTGCCCCCCCCCACCCTCCACACGTTGCACCACACACACACACACACACACACACACAGAAACACAGGGGCTGCTACTTCTAATTGTGAACACTCGGTGTTATGTACTGGCTATGCCAGTGTGATGTTTGCTTTGTTGCCATGGCAACAGACATTTGGCGCTCACACATCATATCCGGTTGTCATTGATTTGACGCTTGGTTACTCTGTCTCACGCTCTCACGCACACACACACACACACACACACGCGCACACACACACCTGACAGGGTAAAAGTGGTGTCATCCCTTCACCTCGGTGCTCTCACCTCTCGGCCTCAGCTGATCAGATTTTACGGGAAGTTACGGGAGCGCTTGATTTACTGACCAACTAGCACGTTGTCGTTTGGAACGAGAGCACACGCTGAGGGACAACATACGCAGATTTGTCTGAAGAGTGTATGCGAGCGTGAGTTGAGGAGCTTAACTGAGCCAGAGGAGTGAATTTAATAAAATATAAATACGTATGTGCAGGATTAAAATGTATTTAGCACAGACAAGGGACAACTTATTGAAGAATTCTGCATTCATCATTATGGTGTCTTTTCCTTCTTACACATTAAATCAACATCTTTTGTAGGATTATATTTGGGTGCTTGAAATATTGTCTTTTCATTAACTGCCAGATGTCTTATTTTGATTTCATTCACTACTGATGAAATCAACGTGTGTCTGTCAGAGCACGGGAACATTAAACATTTCAGAACTAAAAGGCCCGGTGTATCCCAGAGTTTTCTCTGTCCTTGAATACGTGTAATGTGCCACCATTGATGTACCCATGTAGTATAATTTCAAACAATCTGGCTTTCACTGCTTTCTCCCTGACAGGAACATAATTCTGACCAATATCAAACGTGGATACTTTTCTTTTTACACAAGTATGATAACATTTACACTGCTCTGCTATGCATTACCGCAACACAAATATACAGATATGTATTACCTAAATAGAATTTAATTTAGTTTAAGAGTATACATCACCAATTTCTTTTGCTGAGATTTGTTAATAATTACGATAATTTGAGAAAACTGTCTAGCAATGGACTGTTTACCATTTGCCCAAATTTCCCAATCTGTTAAGAAGACATTAACACCGACACAAACTGGCGGATACACACACACACGGACACACGCAGCCGCACGGGGTTTCCTCTCCCTCGCCTTTCACACTCTCCCACGACCATACGAAAGAGCTCGCACTCCCTTTCCAACTCCACAGAAAACACCCACATGTGCTCCTCGCTTGGGGATCTTCAAAATAAATGCACAGCCAAGTGTGCACACACACACACACACACACACACACACACACACACAAAGGGATGGTATTCATTCATTAATTCGGCGTCCTTTCAACGGGCAAAAAAAAAAAATAGAAATCTGAGGAGCAGCGTGAATTTAAAATGACGGCGTTCCTTTTTCCTGTCCACGTCTCTGTCACACAGCAATAAGTACACACACACAAGGGCCGTCTGGTGAAGTGAGTAGCACCAACTGATCACTTCATCTCAATAAAAAAAATGATTACTTATTTATCAGCTGATGTTGAATAATGCTTCTTCACTCGCACACACATACACACACACTTTGTAGTACGGTGTTTTGCCACAACGGAGTCAATAATAATGTTACATGAGTCACTAACAAACCAACAGAGGCAGAAACATACGCACAGCGGGTAAGCATATGATAGTCGCCAGGCGCAAACGCATTACAAGCATGCTGGTCAGACAGCTGCAAAACTGCCGTTCCACCCTCGCTTTATTTGCTCCACCTCCTTTATCCGTCTACGGCGTCGTCCTGCGAGGCCTTCCTCCTTCTCTTTATAAAAACAAGTCGATGGGAAGTGGCCCAGATACATGCAGCCAACTCACCCACCCTGTACCAACTTCTGCTTCCCGTATGAAATGTTCATTCCAGAGCAGGGAAAGAGCGACACTTTCTTCTGATTCCTAACCTGCCCGGCTCTTTCTATCGTCTCGTCTTTGTGGTGCGTGTCTGATTGCTCCACCACTCGGCCACAAAGTTTGGGTCAACAATGACGTGGAAAATAAAAAGTGTTCTCCAGTATCCACAAAGCTAATCCCGTAAAACGCACAGAATAATCCCCCCCGACACAAAAACAACTCACGCCCATCTATGCCTTAAACACACACACTTTGTATGGGTTTCCACGGATAATCATTTAGTTTTACCAGCAAACACGAGCCTGAACACCAGAGGAAGCCATATGGGACGACAGAATGCTGGCAGACTGGAGCTTCTTTCACCGAGCATTAAACACACAAACACACACGCACACACACGCACACACGCACACAAACACACACACACACACACACAGGTCGCTGCACGTTACTGTGAATCCGAGTCTCTGCTGGCTTGGTAGTTCTTCTTCAACGTACAAAATTACAAATTACGTTTAAAACCTGGATCAAATAAATATGTGTTTGGCTTAATCCAACGTGTAAATTCCCGTTATAATAGTTGGCTGGTTTTAGAAATGTATATATATATATATATATATAGGGAGAAACAAAAAAAAGTTAGCAAGGTTATTTATTTTATGTATTTTCTATAACAAAAAAATGCCCTTAAAAATGGCTTTGACAAATCTCCTTCTTACAACTGTGTGTTTAAAAATGAAAATGAAATCCATATAAAAATCAAAACTTGTGACCTGTGCAGCTGCTGCAAATAAATTCAAACTAATTAATCAGATTTCTTTTTCTCGGTTACTCCTTTGGTGTTTTTCTCTAGACGTCGAGTGTCGCTGCCTTTCTCTGTGCAGCTTCAGAGAGAAAGAATCGCTTCTTAACCTTCTAGTCCGAAGCCTGTAAACCGAGCTGCCCCTCAGTGCGGTCTGAGTCAACATGGAATTGTGTCGGTACAGACACTGCAGAGCCAGACAGCCACTAAAAACAACGTTCTTTAAAAAGGTTAAATAACTATTTAATTTAGTGAGTACAATCTATGCATGGTAATTAAATGGCACAATTCCCCCACTTCACAAATAGGTTCACTATATGTTATACATCATCCATAAGTAATTATTCTCATTATATGTATATTTTCTTTTTTTAGCTTAGCTTAACTTTTTTCATTTGTTCTTATTTGGAATGAAGACTTATCCATCATGTGATGCAGTTATTTATAAGATAATAATTATGAATAATTGTTAATTAATAATAATTAGATAACCAATGCTATGTTCTGTGCATATATATACCGCACAGAATATATATGCACAGAACATAGCATTGAACATTCCCATTTCACACATCTGTCATTTTCTAACTGCAGCCTGACAAATTCTCAAATATCCATCGTCTCCGGATTTTCCTGTCTTTCCTTAAAAATCACTGCCTATGCACACAAAACACATGCGATAATTCTCACCTGTGCCAGGGCGTCCCATGATGATGTCCTTCCGTGGGACGGGGTGAAGGCTTTCGGCTGGGAGGATCAGTGGCAGCAGAGCGGTGGGAGACGGGTGACACGGAACCGGCTGCTGGACCTCACCCCCGAACCCCGTCCCCCCATTCTCCTCCCGCTCCACCGAGCCGTCCGCGCCACTCGGAGCGGCAGCTGCGACCGTTGTGCCGACGACAACTGACAGGGGCTGCAGAGGGGGAGCAGGGGTGGCAGCGGTGGGGACAGAGGACGGAGTCGGGGACACAAGCACTAATGTTTGGCCCGGGCTCCGCAAGAGGACGGTGCCATTGGCTACTGCGGTTGCAGCGTTTATGGGGACGGGAACCTGGAGGCCAGCAATTGGCTGCGGGGTGAGGGGTGCTAAGCCGGTGTCTTTAAACAAGGTCTTATCCGTCCCCCCCAAGTCTCCACCACCTCCTCCTCCTCTTTCTAAGGGACACGCCGTGAATTTTGCCAGCGGGACTTCCGGATTCCTCACAATGACGGGGGAGTCCCGCAAGGCCTGCTGGGACCCAGGAACCAGGCGGCGAGGCCCTCCATCGGGAGTGAGAGGGGAAGGGGGAGTCGGAGATACCAGCAGAGGAGGGGGGGAGACGGCGGTGGAGGACGGTGGCCTACTGGACGAGAGGGTGCTGACTCCTCTGGGTCTAGAGAAGGTGGGCGTGTGCGTGCGGGACAGTGAGGCCTGGACGTGGGGGGACAGCACCCTAAAAGAGCCGTTCAGGTCCCCCTGCTCCGGCTCTGTCTTGGGCGTGTAGTCGTGGTGGTGCGAGGGGAGGGGCGGCGGAGGAAGAGCGTCGGGCTTTCGTTTGCTGGGGCTCATGGGGACCGTGAACATCAGGTTGCTGTGGAAGGAGGGCTGCATACCCGACGAGTGTCTCTCCCTTTCTCCTCCTCCGGCCTGGGTCGCTGCTTTGCTGCCCCCGGCCGCACCCCCCCCTGTCCCGCTGGGCTGCCTGTGCCTTCGGGGTTGCAGGACCGGGGAGGCGGTGATCGGGGAGAAGTTGGCGGGCCTGAAGCCGAACAGCGGGGAGGGCGAGGGAGACGGGGCGGGGGAGAAGGGCGACTGGGTGGAGATGGGCGAGAAGGAGGGGGTGCCGGAGTGCGAGCTCCCCAGCGACACAAGCATGGTGGCGGCCTCGCACTCGTCAAAGTCAAAGCGCGACGACAGGTCGTGGGGGAGGAGGGAAGGGAGGACCAGGCGGGGTCTGGAGTCTCCTCTGCTACTAGTCTCGCTGCTCTCCCTTGACGTGTCGTCCCACTCAAACTCACTGCTCGCCCTCCCCCGCAGGTCAGGGGTGACGGTCCCTGAGCTGCTGCCTCCTCCGCCCCCTGCCGCCGTCTCCATCTCTTTGGTCCTCATGGACAAGTGTCTTGAGCAGTATCCTCGACGCTGAGACTCCTTCATGCAGCCTTCCCTGGAGCACAGCCTCCTCCACTGCTTACCGTTGAACTTCTTACGGATTCCATTGGGTGTGCACACCACGTCGCCCTTCTTGTATTTCTGCTGAGCCAACGAGAGGGGGGTCCTGGAGCGAGAGGAGGTAGAGGAGGACCCCACACCGGAAGTGGGAGTAGGGGTCTGAGTGGGAGTGGACTTCAAAGGAGGTAGGCTCGGAGTGGTTCTGTTAATCTCAGACCCGATTGAGGCAGGGGACCGGGGCGGATGGGGGCTCGGCAGGGTGGAGAGATGGGGGGGCGCCAGAACCTGCACCGCAGGCAGGTGGGGAGAGGAGGAGGGGTAGCAGAGGGACTTGGAGGCGATGTTTCTGTGCTGGGAGTTCCCGGCGTTTGCCTTGGCGCCGACGGCGAGCGCCATGTTCAAACGAGAGACCTCGACATCCTCTTCCGGGGTGTTCGGCTGGCTCCCTCCGCCCGACCCGCAGGCCACGACAGAAGTGGCGTTACCAGTGGAGGAACGGGGTGGCGGATGTGTGCTTCCATAGGGATGCCCCCCGGCCACTCCTTCAAAGCCATGGCTCACCCTTGCTCCCCCTCCCAGCACGCCCATCCCAATGCTCAACTGGCACACTTCCCTCTCCACCTCCATCTCCTCCCTGCGCTCCCTCTCCTCCCTCTCCCTCTCGCGCTCTCTTTCCTGGGCCCTCCCACCATCCAGGTGTGGGACCTCCCAGGGAGGGGTGAGCAGCCTCAGACTTTGTCGGGACACCCACACGGCCTGAGAATTGGCGTTAGCTTTCCTTTTCTCTTCCCCCCCATGGGCGCCGTCCAGAGACTCCCAGTCTTCACTGAAGAGCACCTGGTAAGGAAAGGACACGCCAGGGTGGGGGTCCACCTGGGTGACAATGCCTTCTCTGTACAGCGGAGGACCACCCTCCTCTCCACCGAAGGGAACGCATACTCGGGTCCTCACTGCCACGGGTGCCGTGCCAGGCGGGGGGGCGTCCAGAATGAACTCCACCGGGCTCTCGGCTCCAGGTGACGATGTCATCGCGGTCCCGCCACGGAACGGGTATCCAACAAGGGTCTCCTCTCCTTGGAGCTGCACTTCTACAGTCCCTCCACTCACCCTGCGCACCACCCCTGGCCTGAACACCGGGGATAGAGGCCGTGATTCACTCTCCTCCAACCCTCGGTTGCCCGTGGACCCGACCCCGCTCTCCGTGGTCGTCTTTAACCGGCGAGCAAGGACTCTCTGGTTCCTCATGCCCTTGGCCAAAGCTTCAGCCAGTCCCTCTGAACGCCTGGCCTCTTTGTGCGGCTGGTGGAGAGCGGCTGGGCAGCGGGGGTTCTTTTGAGGCAGGCACGGTCCTGTTGCTTCCATCCCGTCCAGGTCAGCGGAGTGCTCGCTCGCAGTATCCGTGGAGGAGGAGCGCACTGAGTAACGGGCCCCCTCCGACTTATCTTTCCCAGGTTGGAAATCTTTGTCCTGGGATCCTGCCGCCCTGAAGGTTTTATCGTCCCCGGAAACAACGTAGTTTCCGTCTGGAGCTTTGCTGTCCACAATTAGCACTGATGGCTGATTACCTGAGCAATTATTACTATTACTGCTATCTATAAGAGTATTATGGCTACTACGGTTAGTCACAATGTCAATACCACTGGTAGTGTTACTATTACCACTACTATTGATACTAAAATGAATACTTTTATTACTGCTTTGACTAATACTGTTACTACTCTTGAAATTGTTATTGGGTGTACTCAAACTATCGCTGATTTTGCTGTGAGCATTGTGGTAACTGCTGTGTATAAGTGCAGGGCTGGAGGTAGGAATGGTAGTCAGGCTACTTGCGTTGTTTGCAAAGTGCTCATACGTGTATTTCTTCTTGGGCACACGAGCCTTAAATGTGGCTGTTTTCCTACTAGAGACTGAGCCTAAGCTGTGATTGTTGGCCGGAGGGGGCGTGGCTGTGGAGAGTGGCGTTGGGGTGGTGGTAGGAAATGCTATAGAGTTACAGGACACGGCCTTATTTCCGTTCGTGCCGTCTATCTTTTCTGTTTCTGTCTTTTCTGCTGCTTTTCTCTCGACCGATTCCACAGGTTTCCTCAGTCCAGTAGGCTCCGCTCTCTTGGGAGTACCGCTGTTTGTGATCGGCTCTTCGACGGAGTGCGATATCTGTTTGCTTGTTGGAGCGCTGGGTGAATGCTGTGTGGTCTTGACGAGTGTTTCCCTCTTGGCTCTTTTGGGGTCCTTCTCTTGAAGGGGCTGAGAGCTTCCTCTCCGTCTCCCCCCTCGACCTCTGGTCAGCGGGGGAGAACGGCCTCGCTGCTTCTTTAATGGCCTCATCGCTTGACGTCGTTCACAAAGTGCAGATTTTGTGGTGCCCCTCTTTGTCCTCAAGGCACTCCTTTAATCGTCTTTCTCGGTTTTCTTCTTCCCCCCTGTCCTCCTCTGCTTTGTGTTTTGAGCTGGGAAGGAAAAGGTAGAAAAAGAAGACAAGAGTGTAATTTATCACCTTCATCATCAAAAATAAAATCATTATCATAATAACATTTCTTATGTACCATTTTAAAACCAGACGACAACATGAAGAAGACTTAAATTAAAAGACATTGCTTTTCGTATTAAACATGTTGTTCTCTAGACCATATCACTTTTAGCTTAATACTAAATAATTAATCAAAATTAGAAAAAGGATGAAAATAGATATTTTGATAGGATGAGTTCAAGATTTATATCCCAGATTATTCTGGCCAAATGTTTCTGAGGTTGAGATTTAATTTAGTTAACCTTGGTGTGATTACTCAGTTTACTCTTTAAAATAAAGTAAAAAAACAAAAAATGGAATTGAATCATAAGAAAGAAAGGTAAAAAAAACATCCAAGGTCACTTCCTTCAATTAGTCTCTTACTGCTTTAATCAAATTATGTGCCTTTAATGGAGCCTACATTTCTTTTATTTTGAATCCACGCAGACGTAAAAAGATGTCCTCACACACACAGACAGACGTCTCTCCACTGTACTCCTCCAGCTACCTGCGACGCATCACGCTAAGCATGATAGACCTGATCAATGACGGATCAAAACAACAGCAACACAGATTTTATTTCACGACTTTCATCGTTGGGAAAAGGTCACCCTACAACGAGTGAGTGAGAGAGAGAGAGAGCGAGAGAGGTGGGAGTATGCGGCTGTTTGGCTGTTTGTTCAAATAGTCTGTTCTTGTGTAGTCATCGGGAATTTCCACAGTCATTCTCACACTCGCTGGCCCTCTCTCTCACGCTCTCTCAATGTCTCAGTCTTTCCCAGTCATCCTTTGTCATTGTCTCTCTCTCTTCAGCGCTCCCCGTCTCTCTCTTTCTCCGCCACACACTCTTTCTCTCAAACACACACAAACGTTTCCCCAAAAAGACATTTCAATTGTAAAAATCTTCCAGGGGTAATATACGCCTAAAATGAGATAAATTAGAAAGGCCGGTACAGGTTTAGGCACAGTCACTGACGCAATATTACCGGCTAAATACAGTCACGCTGTCGCACAAACACACACGCACACACACAGACTTGTGCGTATATGTCTCCCTCGGGTGAGCTCGGCAACTCACCAACATGTGAAAATTCCGGCATTCCTACAAATACTGACAAGACGACTTCCCTCTCACACGCACTCACAGCAAATATCTTCGACATTGGAAAAGTTTGCTGCACACACACATACGGTGACCTTGTTGGCGACCTTACGTCGTTTTGCCGGTACACGACATGGAGCGGCAACGCCAGCTCCACCGCTCCCGATGACGAAATAAACACCCAACTAAATTCGGACCTTCGGACAGTGTTTACTGCATAAACGGGCGTTGGTCATTACTGCGGAATTTACTGCAGATACCAATCTTAAAAGCGATGCTGATGTTTCGTCTTTCACTTGCGACCACATCTGGAGTTGACCCTGATGTCTGAAACGCACGAGGCTCCACTCTGTTAAGATTATTCTCTTTACCGAGGACGGAGCATGCGGCTGCAGAAGACGAGCGCCATTTACTCTCACACCTCTTGTTCAAATGGTTGAAAATGAATCAAACATATATGAGCTACATAACATGAAGTACTTTGATCTTCGATAGTAATCAGCAGACCACACTGCGTATTAACAAAAACTAAATACAAGCATTGTGAAATACAAGCATTCACCCCACTATTTCTTTCCAGAGTGCATTTTTTGTAAGTTCAGTGGACGACGAGGCCAATCTCAGAGGAGACACGGGAAAGAAAAAAGACAATTGGGCCTGCAGGAGTGTCCCTCCTACCAGCACCGGGCTGAAGCCCTCCTTCACAAGACGCGGAGGCCCGGACTGGCCGTGTTTGTCCTGTGCTGCACTTTGCAAAGACAGGAAGGAGTCAGGGCCACTTGACCGACTGTCTGGCTGACTGAATTTCTCTGGAGGATCCAATCTTAGCTTTAGAATAATGTGTTTCGGTCACGCTCACGGCCTTAGAAAAAAATGCTGCAGGATTTGGCTGATAAGCCAATATTCGCATTGTGTAACTTGGAAAGCACCGGGGTGCACAAACGAGCATGTGCACACCATGTAGACGAGAGGAGATTCAGATTTATACACCGATGACCTTCACGACCTTTCTTTACTTTCAGTGCCGAGCACTCGGTGCGAGTTTGCAACTAAAAAAGACAACAACAAAAACACTATTCATCACCCGAGCAGGAGATGAAAACACTTGTCTTCATACGTGTGCACCCATTTATAAATCCATCCTTAATGTGTGGACAAGCGATGGTCACCGCATTTCCTCTGGAATTCCAGAAAGAATACACAACGTTGTCAAGGTCGTCAAATATGTCATACTAAGGTACAGAGAGAAGTACATGAATTTGAGCAGAAGGCTTCTGTAATTGCAATGTTCACGTAAACCAAACGGCACAGGATTTTAACGTTTCTCTTACACACACACACACACACTGTGTGCCTTCCAAAAACATTCCCGATATGGAAAATGACTGCAGACATTTCCCTCTTAATGTTTGTTAGCTACAATCCAAGACTCCAAAAGTCCAAATCGCTTCACTTGTTTTTTTAGCACATAAGTTATTAGAACTGAACATATAAAGGAATTTGGTGCAGAATCCCGATTGTGCTCCGGGATGCACCCAGACGAAGCGCAGTGGAATTCGGGGATTCAGGACGTCTGCGCCTCGCAGCAGGCTGAGAGTGAGATATTTGCTGCTCTGTCTGAAGCGACTGTAAATCCTGAATATAGACGGATAATCGACGGCTTTCGCCTCCACGTCGTTGGACTGGACTCCTCCGCGAACCGCAAAAAGACGCTGTTACACCAACACACACACACAGACACACGCATTGACACACAAAAGCACACAAAGCAACCCCCCTTCCACAGCACAGCAACATCAAACTTTACGCTCTCTCTCTCTGGAATTTAGAGTGCAGTCATGCATGCTCTGTTAAAATCTCCCTTGGACCTATATATTATCTCACACCCACATGATCATTGTGCCGTACACACACACATGCAGGAGATCACACCCGGAGCTGCTATATGTTTTGCTCGTCAATACTAAGAAACATAAAAATATATAAAATTCTAATTCAAGATATTGACTTTTCCCAGCAAAAAGAGCCCCATGCTGGTGATTTTCTCGGCAGGGTTGGACCTTAAGCCTCCTCTCAATGTCAACATCACAAAAACAAGTTATGCACAGGAGTTATTACTGAAGTAAACAGCTCTAATAAACCTTAGCCTCGATGCCAAATGATCCGCTCATTTGTTAGCCTGTACCTCACCGCACACCTGGCACAGGACCCATGTGTGTGTGTGGGGGGGGTAGACGTGGGGCTGTCTTCAGGTGGCGTCTACCTCGTTCAACGTCGCGTTCGCTCTGTACGTCAGCGCGAGCGTGTCCGTGGTTACCAGGCACACTGCAGCTCGGCCTTCTCCTTCGGGCTGTTTTATGGGTGTCTGTATGGAAGAAGGGCTGCAGTGGCGCGGACGGAGAGAGGAGGACGTGCCACGACAGAGCGAGACAGTGTGTGGCAGCGAAGGCCAGCGTGGCCCCGTGCACACGTCTGCATGGCCGGGGCGACTTTGCCCTTAACTGGATCACCGGCGGAGGGGGGGAACGGCACACACACACAAAAAGAAGAAGAGAAAAGAGCATATTCTCTGTTGTACACACTCACGGGTGAGTGGGATGGGATCATTCATGCAACGTGTTGTTACGGTATTCGAGGTGTGTAGCAAGAGGCCGTGCTTGGGAAGTGTCTGCCGGCTCTCGTTGTGGAGAACATCCATCGTGACGTAGTACAAATACTGGCAGCCGTTTAACAGCTGGCACATCTGACTGTGAGCGATGTCAATAAAAAGAGAAACTCAGAGCCCTTGAATTTGTGTAATGGTGGGCCGTATTGATCGAGAGGCCGTATGCATAGATCAGAGGTGACCGGTCCTGTTTTGGGGGTGTCCAAAACGGCAGGCATGCCACATCCGACTGGCCAAATGCTCTCTACCATATGCAAAGATATTGCATAAACAAGAGCAAGGATGGAGAGGCAAGGGGAATGCATGACACTTATGAGTGGAAATGGCAAAAGAAACAGCAACAACAACGCATTCAATTACTCTCACCCTCAAACACTGCAGAAAACTGCCCGGAACGCAACGAGTCCGAGGGGGGGGGAGTACTACGACGCACACAACGACAACGGAGTTATCACGACTCGAGGGGAACAAAACACACAAAAAACAAGTGACAGTGCGTTATCCCGAGCAGAAGGGCTTGATTCTTATTGGGTTCTCCTTTTTTTAAAAGAAGGGAGAAACAGAAAGCAGCACCACGGTGCGCACCGCGCCGGGGGAAGCCTGCTCGATGGAGCCGTGCAGGGACGCTCCGCCGGCCTCGGGTGGAATAAAAATATAAAATAAAAAATAAATAAAAACTTGAAAGGGAAAAAAATGAAAGAAAAAAAGAAACGAGTGGTGTGGTGAAGCCGCGCGGGTGTAGTAGTAGTAGTAGTTGGTGGATGTTGTAGTAGTCGTAGTACGCAACGGCAGCAGACCACAAGGAAACGGAACATCGTACGCTGCCGCGTTGTTTTGCTCAATTCATGCGCGTTATATAAACAGCACGAAATGAACCAAACAAACCGCGCATATCTCCCGCGTTGCTGTTTGTAAACATTTAGGCTGCGATGCTGCAAATAGGTCGATTTTTGGGGGGGGTTATACTACGCTCGCGCCGCTCAACCCGGGGCGGCTACACGGGGGAAGGAAAAAGTACTCAACATTTACCACGATGTAGTAACGACACCCGGGGGAGGCTAACGCGTTTCCCGGTCGTCCGCGGCTCTGCGGGGGAAAAAAACATTTGCGAAAAGTTTTCTTTGTTTTTTTGTTGTGTTACGCTTCGTCACCCGTTTTCTGTCGGCGCGGCGCGAGCGCTGTCACGCAGCTCGCTCGGCGGTGGAAATCTCTTCTTGCGCTAAACTCGCTGCTCCTGGAAATGTGCAAAACGCACGTCAGTTGGGAGCTTCGCTGCCTTTCGTTAACTTAGTTTCAACTCACCCCAAACACAGCTCCCCCCCACCTCACCCCCCTCGAGAGAGAGATTTATGGTCTTATTTTGCAGATGAGGAGGCGGGCTCAACCCCCGGTAGCGTTCCTCGGCTGTTGGCTCTGGCGGCGGCGCGGTCCGGACTCGCACTTCACTTTTCCTCCGCGGAACATGTCCTGCCCCTACAGAAACTCAAACGAGGCTATATGGGAAAAAAAACTATCGGTCTTCTTTTCCACTACAGTCACAAAATGGTGAATGAACCACCAACAGCTGGGCGAGCTGGCCAATGAGAGGTCGCTGACAGTTACAGTAGCCAATCGGCACCGGCCCTACGGCCCAGGGGGCGTGGCGCGCTGTCACGGCGCAGTTGACGGACGGGCGCGCTGAGCCTATAGCGACGAGGATGCTGAGCGCAGAACGGTGTCCTGTCCCAAACTTTACAGTGTCCAATAAAAGCTCCGGGAACCATAGGAACAGCGTGAGGGAGGGCCGAAAGGAGGGAGCAAATCACCGGGGGCCAATAGAAAGGCACACACGCCCCCCTCCTCCACTGGAAATAAGTATGTTTACCATAATTGACAGCACAAGTGCCATCTCTGAGCAGACGGGCATAATGCATCCGTCTCTCTCCCTCTCCGTGGAGACGTTGGTGCAGCGGGATTAAAGCACGGCTATGCGGCTGTTTGCACTCGTGTTGCCCGGCACGCCAACTGTTGCAACAAGTGCATTTTAACAGTTCGTGTGACTATCGTTGAGGCAGACTAAGTGAATGCACTGACACAGGTGAAGTGTGCGCACGAGTGCACTATTATAAAGTGTATTTAAGGAGCTGGACAACACGTCAGTGCTGCAGAAACAGCCGACGCATCGGTGCCCCTTGCAGACAGCTCTGCCTCTCTCCCCATCTCCCTTTTTCTCTCAGCAACAGACGCTGACTTTCACCGCATTCAGCCAATCACGTTGCAGCCTCCCGCTGGCTCTGACGTCGGTAGTCTCTCCGCCCCGCCCACTCCCGTAAAAGAGAACGAGGACCGGTCCTGGCTGACGTCACTTCACCAACAGGCTATTGGGCAGGTGTGCGACGTCTCGGGACCAATGGCCGCGCTTAGCGATGATGTCATCACGAGTGTTGCCACCAGCTGAACTGAGAGGGCGTGGTCTGGCGTAAACTCGGCTAACCCCGTGTTTGCAACTTGCAAGGCAGTGGCGATGGAGACAAACCGGGGTGCACGGAACCGGCTGAACGGGAATGATGTGCACGCCTGAGATGGATGGCACTAGCTTAGGATAGAATAAGAGAAAAGCACAGGGTCTCACAAAAGATGTGTTTCCGTAATAATAAAGATTACATAATCCTGTGGTCTGTGTGTAGTAGCAGACAGCCGATGAGGGATGTCGCAGGAGCAGCGCCCCCTGTCGGTGTGATCCGATGCGCGCTTGAGTTACTGGCCTCTCACTCAAGCTCAACGATGGTTGGCCGAAGGGACCGCATGTTTTTGGGAAAAGTTTACTAGTTGCGTGTGCTTGTGCCTGTGTTTGCGCACGTGCGTGTGTGTCGAGAGAGAGAGAGAGAGAGAGAGAGAGAGAGAGAGAGAGAGGCTGGATGTTGATTAAATGTTGATGTAGAGTGACATCTAGTTGTAATTGCTCTGCACTGCAACTTCCTTTTTTTCAGTAGGAAATCATTTGTCCTCAAAAACTCAAGTGACTTGCAGAGGTTTTACTTGCCACTGAATCATAAATGTAAAAAAAAAAACGGGAAAATATCCCAGGAGCCACACGACTGCGATGCTGGGATGTAAAAACAATTCACAAACAAGTGATCAAAGTAACTTGTTTATATATTTCTGGCCCGTTGAGATATAAGCATTATTAATGCAGTAACATAATGAATCACATGTAACAATATCAATAGTGAATATTGCCTTTGGTGTGTTGAAGTCATGAGTGGACTTTGCTTCTTTGCTTTGGTTTAAAAATAGACCTGCCAGTGCTCTCTGGTGGACAAACTATGTCATTGAGACACTTATTCCTCAAACAAATGTTGTGTATTTGTTGTCAGACATGGTACATGCGTGATGAACTAATACCAGACATCGTCCGGGTCATGTTATCAGTCTGTGTCAAGTAAAAATGTGTGACATTTGGGAGAAAGCTTTCCTGAAGTAAAGGTTCAGCCCAACTACAAGACAAAGGTCCGGTGCCACAGCGGTGGGGGGGGGGGGTCGGGGGGTGGATTGCATTAAGAGGACTATTTTATACAAAGGCGGGAAAATCTGAAATGGGTAGGAAACACTTTATAAACATGTAAAACATCTGTAACTGGAGTCACTGTCTGAACTTCTGTGTGACATTAGAAATAAGAACACATCTGGTTTGGATGACTGGCTGTGTAATAATTAACTTATAATTAAATAATTAAAAACCCTAACCACAACCCTTTTTAACTTAGATATAAGTGTCAAACTTTCTACTCTATTCTCCAACATTCTATGGCTCTACGCAGTAAATCCCCATTATGTCATTTTTCCGGGGCACTTTTTACATTTCTTTTCTTCGCATGCAAACCCCAACAATCACCCCACCTCGTTAGAGAGTCCCCCTCTCTGCCCCCCGCCCCGTTTGCCCCCCTGCTCCACTCTCCATGGGAGCCTGACCTCTGACCTTCACCCTTCAACCCTCTCTCTGTGTGCTCATCACAGGCCTGTCAGTCAAACAGCAGAGACCCTCTCCCCCCGCTGGGCTCCGCTGTCAGCCCGGCCTCAGGTACACAGACGGCAGCCGAGCGCAACCGAGAGGCGAGAGCAACGCTGAGGGCTCAGACGGAAGGAGAAAGGACGACCAACTTACAACTTGAGCTTGAGAGGGTGATAACTCGACACGAAATAGGCCGCTATTTTGCCTAAAACAGTCAATTATTATATAAAAGTTGCGTGTCTTCGCCAGCAGCATTGCTGGATGAGCTGTGAGCATGTTAGCATGCTGACAAGTGCTGCCTCACTTTGACTACGTAGCATTTTCCTGTTATAATACGTATTATATTATACTATGTGTACACATTTAGGCTTCTAGTAAAATCTGCATGAGAACATTTGTGCTTCATCCATCAAACCTCGGCCCTAGAAATGAGGCTAGAAGTAACTTACAAAAGAGCCTAAGTGGTCTTTGAAAAGTGTGTATTTGATTTTTTCCCTCTCCCTACCTTGGGCTTTATGTCACAGAGTGGGCTGCTGAAAGAGTAGAGTTCTTTGTGTATCGTGTGTCAACAGAGGACAAGTCTGCTCCTGTGGCACACAGGGGGAGGCAGTGAGGAGTCATGATGTCCAATAGTGTCTGATAAATGCTGCACACACACTGTGCAAGGCTACGGATTCAGGGCACATCGTGCCACCGGTAGCTGGTATTACACCCGGAGACAAATCCTCCAAGGACACCACGGAGACACAGAGACAGAAATCTATGAAAGTCTCCCCTTTTGAAGAATTATCCTGAAGCCTGAGTGTGAATTGACGGTTAACGACCGCAGGTCACATCTAAATGGCAAAGACGAAGCAAAAGAGAGGCGTCGTTGGAGAGGTGGCACACAAGGCCGCCATCCGTACGAGCTGCAGCGCGCTCAACAGAAGGCCCTTGTGCTCAGTGCAGTAACCGAACACCGCTCGGCTGTTCCTCCGTGTCCACGTCATGTCCCTGAGCTGAAGTCAGTCGTCCTTGGACATAGAAAAGATGAAGAAGGAGTGGTGACAAAAGCATTTCCGAAGCAGCGTACGACTTTTGTATTTGGAGTTACATTCTTTAACTCTTACTGAAACTTCTAAATTCCCTGTGCATAATAAAGTTGCGTAACATTAGCAGTTTATGTAAGTATTCTGTTTGCATTACAATTCTATGAAGGTCTTATGAAATCTTTATTGATGGTGCTTTCACTTCCAGTTTGGAACACAATCGTGCCCGAGCCGCTCACGTGCAGTGCGGCGTTCCAACAACAGGGGGAGACGTCCAACGTGAAATGAACGCGCTCGGGGCGCGAGCTGCAACACTTTTGGCCTTAACGGCGTACAAAGGGCAAGCAGAGCCTCTTTCTCCAGGTCTCTCCACGTCGAGCGTGGACCCGTTGGTCTCCTGCGAGTGAGACGCCAACATTTAGACAACGTTACTTCTGTCACCGTCAAAAAGGCCCGACGGAGAGATTGGCGGGAAGGAACGAGAGAAAAAAAGGAAATACAACCGGCTTATCAAACAAAACCACATCAATATCCGCGCGCACACTCGTCTCTGTGTTTTCGCCGTTGCTGTGAGAGCACCTCTCCCCTCTCCCCCCTCGCCCCGCCAGTGCGGTGCAGCTTTTCTCCGTAAAGGCGGAGGATGCGGTGAACTTACTAGCACGCCTCGCCGTGCGTCACTGCGCCGTAACTCTCACAGAGGATGCAACAGGCCCGTGTGGGTACGAGTGTGTGTCTGCGTTCACAAGGGCCCCGCCGCCGTGCAGACCCGCGCACGATGCACGAGCGCTTTCTGCGAAAGCAGGCGCTCAGAGGAAGCGACGGGGGAAGAGAGGGATGTGGCCCAGGTGAGAGAGCGTGGCGGTTCCCGTGGTCTCTTTCTCTTTCTCTCTCTATCTACCCTCTGCTGTGAATGGACACACAGACAGTGACCCTCAACAAGGTCAAAGAAGGTAGAACCAGGTAACGGGAGGTCCGCCTCGCACACCGACATGTTGGGAGCACACGGAAGCTTTGTCGGTGAATCCTTTGGAGCGCTGTAGTTCCCCTCACCGGTGACCTTTGAACCGACGCAGCATTCTAACCTCTGTTAACAGGTTGAATGTGTGCGTTTTTCGCCTTTGAACCATCGGGTGGATTCAGATGAGTAACTGTTAAAGGCCTAGTTCAAACATTTTTTTTCGTCCCCAGCAACCTTTCGCTTTGACGGGTAGTTTCTGTTTGTTGATACAAAGCAAATGGCCATATATATGTTAAATATATAGAGGTTAAAGGTCGCCGTGACTCTTTCCTTTTCTATTCATCCACCACCGCTCCAGGAGAGAAACACTAAAGGCCACACAAAGAGGAAATGATGAGGCTGAACTTGTGAGACGCTGGTCGGCCAAATTAGGAGGTTTCCTTGACAAACAGAATATTGTGGCTTTCGTTCATTCAATATTAATCTGCCTTTGATGTTATTTAATCTATGAAAGTAAACTAACTTCCAATGCAGCACATGACTAAAAATGTAGAAGTGCCATTCAAGGCCTTCAAGCAGCTCCTCCTCCTCTTCCTCCTCTTCTCACATACAATGCGTGCTTCTAAGTGCTCTTAAGACAAGCGAGCGAGTACTGACGTCACGTTAAAAGGTAAATGTGAGCATTTAGTGGGTGAGTGGGCAGCGGCACTGCAGACAAAGTGCTTTTCTTCTGTCAGCTAAACGCATAACCTCAGAGCCCTGTTGGAGGCCATGTATGTGTGTGTGTGTGTGTGTGTGTGTGTGTGTGTGTGTGTGTGTGTGTGTTCATTTCATCCAAGCCACCACCAGGGATCATCAGGGGCAAGATGAAAGACAATTGAAGTTTTAAAGCTTTAGTTTGAAGTAGGGAACGGTTTCCTTTATGCAATATAAATGGAGAGTAAAATCTCCAAGATAATTCTTATGAACAATCTGAAAACACAGGAAACCCCGTATCTATTTAGGAATGAGTTTTTATGTTGGTTGATTTGAGAAAAAATCAAATATATATACACAACAAAATAGATACACGCAAAAGATAAATCCAGTAGTGTAATCCTGTAAAGCTTTAGCTCCGTCCCACGTTAACAAAATCCACCTACAAACTCCAAAGCTCACTAATTAAGACCATATATACAGTGTGTTTAATTCACACAAATATTATTATTTACTTTTGACATTTTGGACTATTTGTTGGCTGTAAGATGTCGCCAAGCAACCAGCAGATACTCAAGTTAGTTTCAGTTTCAGACAGAAAAGGAAACTTTTGCCTTAACAAAGTTGTGGGGGCTACATATTTTAATTTTGAAGTATATAACTACAAACAACATCATAAAACAGTCCGCTGCTGCTGACGAGAAGTCAGCAGGTCAATCTCCTTGTTTACGAATAGAAACTCCACCGTCTGATTGGGCTTATGTGTCATTATTAAACATATGAAGGAAGTGCACACAAAAACAAACAGTGATATTCATATTGGGTTTCAACTGGTTTTAATTAACCCTGATTACAGCTTAATTACAAGTTTGAAAAAAAAAAAAAACACAAAAGAAGTGGAGAAAAGTCAATGTTACATCATGGTATTAACTCTCATGTCTCCATCTGAGTGTTACGTAACGGCTCGGCGGAGACGAGACGAAGATGAGCGTGAAGGAGGGAGAAGATAGACCTTTGCAGTGAAACAATACAAATCTTTTTTTTCCTCCCTTTTAGATGACATAACCCCCCCCCCCCCGCCCAAAAAAATAAATGTACAGAAGCAAAGAGAGAAAAAGGTAACATTGTAAAATAAAAATTACAATACACGACAAAAGAGATAAAATCACTCCTCCTCTCTGCCACTAAAATCCTTCGCCGCTGCATTTTCCTCTTAGTCCCCGGTGTTATTTCTCCGTCTGCATCAAAAATTGATATTACACATTTTAGTTAAATTACATTTGAAAAAACTAAAGACACGAAAATGTCTAGTTTGGGGGGGGGGGGGGGGGGGCATGAAGGGTTGAAAGAGGGAATGGAGGTTTGGGGGGATTCAACATCATCCCAAGTGATGTAACACAACATAAAAAGCAACAGCTAACAGGGCCATGGAATAATAATAATGCCGGGTGGAGAGGTAAATAACCCAATGAGAACAATAACAACAACAACAATAATCAATAGCAATATTGTCATCAGAAAAATAAACTGAAAAATATTTAATCTTTTGATAGAGAAATGTCATCTTTGTGCCGTTTGTCTGCCGTCCTTTGTCTGTTGATGCCTGAAACAGGACGCGATATCCTGCGATACATTACGGTGGAGTCAGACTATCGCAGAAAGTCTGAGCTCAACGCCTGAAACGGAGCTAAATTAAATTGAAAATAGAGCGAAGGAGGGCAGGGCGGGTAAGACAGATGCCTCGCCCAATGCTGAGTCATGAAAAGGAGTAATAAGGCAGCTGTCAGTTCAAATGCAGACACAGGACTTGGTGTGTGTGTGTGTGTGTGTGTTTGTGTTTGTGTGAGAGACATGCTCCAGTCCAGGCCACAGGGGTCTGATCAGGAAATTTAATCAGCTCGGCTACACAGGGCGCCTGGAGCCCATCTATCTCGCAGCTCGCTGCTATAGATCCGTCTGGTCGCTGGTCAGCAGAGCTCAGTCAACCAATCAGACGCCTGGCTGCAGAGATGTTAAAAAGCGTCATCGCAAACGTGATCATTTGCGTTTGTGTGGATGTGCATAGTTTGAGGAGAGAGCCTTCTAGGACTGGGCCTCACATGTCCCACTTTTCCCCAGCTATCTTACAGAAATGATTAACCTTTTAACCCCATCTCTCTCTCACCTCAATCCAGAGCCCATGTGAACTTTGGAGCGTTACGCTAACTAACCAAAGAGAGAGGACAGGATTATTACTTTTTGTCCCATGAGCTCACTCTGAGCGCACCCTCTCTCTCACACACACACACACACACACACACACACACACACACACACACACACACACACACACACACACACACACACACACACACACACACACACACACAGAGGGCCTGGAGAGGGGGCCCGGGGAGGGAGGGGGGCCCCGACAGCGCGGGCCGGGGAGAACCCCACTGAGCTGAGACTTTACAGGCGGGAAAGAACCGAGTGCTGCGCGAGCTGCTGCAGACGGCGTGAAGCGCAGTCATTAGCAGTCTGATCCCGTCCAGCTTTTCTTCTTCTTCTTCTTCTTCTTTTTGATCGTCTCGTTCTGGTAAACTGGCCTGTGCTGGTTTTCTCCGGTTTGTTTGTCAATGAAAAAGCGAAACCCGGAGACCCCCCCCCCCCCCTTACCCCCAACAGACTTCACTTATCCCCACCCCACCAGCCACCAAGCCACACTAACCAGTGAGTGGCGGGACACTCAAAATAACCCACCTACAAACAATCCTGAATCATTAAAATGCTATCGTTCTTTTTAAAATCTCACGTCCATAATAATTTCCTTTAGAATATATAAAGATATAGTCTGTATGTGTGTCAGCAGAACTCGGTTTGCTATTTTGTACATGCTATAAAAACAAGGCATTGAGAGGCAGTGTTGGGGTGTGTGTGTGTGTGTGTGTGTGTGTGTGTGTGAGCTCTATAGATGTTCACTGGTCTCTCAGGCTCTCACGCTCGTGCAGTTTACAGGCCGGGCCGTCTCACACACTTTCAGGACCTGAGGATGACGCCACTACGGAGCTGGAGGTCCGGACGAAGAGACAGAAAGCATGTTTAAGAGCTGAAGGCAGTGCTGGGTGTGTGTGTGTGTGTGTGTGTGTGTGTGCTTCGTTGCTGGTTTAATTAAACACTATCGATGATTGTTAGAGGAGCTTTAGCTGGTGAACTAGGATCCTGTGCTGCTGGGACTTAAGAGAAACTATTTTCAGTGTACAAGCCAAGTTAGGGGAGGTGAGAAGGCGAGTGAGCACTTTTTGAAACTCCCCCCGCACCCCCAGCTGCCTTCCCCCCGTGGTCCCCTTAGCAGTCCTTTCTCTACGCTGAGGTACTTGTTTATTCTTCTCTCTGAGAAGGTCGAGATTATGTCTTTAAGTGGAGTCGTGATCCTTCCCCAGGTGGTCCGCGGGAGAAAGAGCCACGGGACAGAAGAGACGCGGGAGGAAGGTTAAACAAAAGTCTAAAGTTCAGAGAGAAGTGTGAATGCGTGTTGTTGTCAGAAGTGTCCAGAAGCAATGCGTCCACGTTTAGTCCTTTTGAAATGTTCAATTTCCGCTTGTGTGTTTGTGTGTATGCATCCGGTAAACATACAGCTGACTTTACAAGGCGTTCATGAGTTTAAGATTTCTTTCAGCTGTCCTCTACTTCTTTTCTCTCTCCCATGTCACTCCAGGCCTTGCTTTCCTTTTGTCTCTTAGATTCAGGCACTTATCAAAGTCCCGCCCTCTTTTCGGGAAACTAGCGTAGGGGAGAAGGGCGCGCATTTTCATCCTAGGTGTGTTAATGGGTTTTTAAGAGAGTGTGTGTCCCCTGAGGAAAGTGCTGACTGGCTGCTGATCCCACTGATGGGTCCTGACGGAGGGACATCGGACCCGGAGCCTCACTGGCCTCTGATGTCAGCGCTGTTACAGTCACAGAGTCTGAGTGAGTCCCGCATCCCAAAGCATGTGTCCCAGAAGAGCCCTGGTCCAGACGATTGGAGCGGGGGTCCAACAAAACAAGAAGGAGACGGTCTGTGAGGTGTTGTTTTTTCTATGTGTGTGTGTGTTGGACTGTGCTCTCAGTTCACTGGGGGTTGCAGGGATCTAGTTTGGGAGAGGGATTACGGAGGAACCATTTACATACTCCTGTGCCCCCTCCAGAGCTCCCGGAGCAGTAGTGTTTGGACCGGGTCGCTCATCAGCAGTCTTTGTTCTCCAGAGACAGCTGAGCGGTGGCACGATGCAGCTCGGCGCTCACCTGCCGCTGTGAGGCCAACAGCGTGGCCAAAGAGCCCTCGTACGCCAACGGGGGAGGGCTGTCCTCTTCTCTGCTCCCTGTCCCGTTCTCCTCCGTCTCCATCCGCCCGTTGCTTTGCCTCTCCCTTTCCCTCTCCTTTTCCCTTTGCCTCTGCCTCTCCTTTTCCTTCTCCTTTTCCCTCTCCTCCTCCGGTCGAACCTTCTTGTCGTCCGACTCCTCCTGGGAGGCCTCCATGCGCTGGTCTTCGCTCCAGCGCCTCTTGAAGCGCAGCTTGAGGGGGATGCACTTCGTCTGGGGGGCTTCCACAGAGCCCGTCTGAGGCGGTGGGGTGTTGCTGTCCCCGTGGTCGGCGGGTTCGCTCTTGAGGGCGGGCGGCATTCGGGGGGCATTTGAGTGTGTGTGCTGCGAGGTGAAGAAGGGCATCAGGCCGGGTGGAGGCGGAGCAGGGGCCTTGAAGACATCCTCGTCCAGGTCCTCGTCAGGATGGGGGTGGTGTTGGGGCGCGGCTGTGCTGTTAGCAAGGTGGTGGTGGTGGTGGCGGTGGGGTTCGGGGGCTCTGAAGTGGCGAGGGGAGAAGAGCTTAAACTCCTCATCTCTCTCGTCTGGGTCCTCATCACTGATGTCGGTGACCTCCACCTCCTCCTCTGACTCAATATCAGAGATGGGCTCCACCTAGACGGAGACAGAAATGGCAAAAAATGAACACAGCAGGAAACTCATGGACATTTGATTAGTATAATATTGATATATATATATATATTAAGGTTGCAACTAATCATTTTGATAATCGATTAATCGGATGATTATTTTTTCGATTCATTGATGAATTGGATAAAAAAGCTTTAATTTAATTTCCTTAACTCTGAAACAGAACTGCAAATTCACATTGCAAAAACACTTCAGAAAGTCCACAAACAGCTTAGTCCTTATTATGTATGTTATTATGCTGTTATTAGCGAGCTAACGCTAGCTTGATCAGCTGGATGACGAGTAAACAGCTCCGTCAGCTCCGACAAGGTGGTGCTCCCGTGACATGTTACGTTGACTTTGCACATTTTGCCATTGACACACTTTTTAGTTTATTGTGTGAAATGCTCGCACACCTTGGACCACTCAAGTTGACTTCTCTGGCTGCACCATGTGACTCACAACAACTGCCGGCGCTGCTGACTGCTCGTTCCTCTACGTCGGCTCGGCTCTTTTTTATTATTATTAAGTTACATTTTTGTTATACATTCAAAATGTCGTTTTACTAAACGAAAGTGTCTGTTAAGACAATGTCTGCCAGGTGACGGTTGCTAATAATGTAGATCACATGTATCGGCGTGCTTTTTCCAGACCTTGTGGAAGTTCGTCTTCGAAGATCGAAATCATAACGGATATTTGGGTCCATGTGTCTCACCTTTATTTTGGGCAGTCCCGAACTGTTTAGGGACTGTGTTGAGGAAGAGGCCGAGATGAAGCCCGAGCCGCTGGCGGAGCTCAGGTCGCTGCCGAACGACAGCGAGGAGCCCAAGCCGGACGTAGACGTCATGGATCCGGAGGACAGCGAGCTCTGCCGGGGTTTACTGTGGCTCTCCTTGTGCTTCCTGCCGAGCGGCGGCGGCTGCAGCTTGAACTTGAAGGGAGACATGTGCGGCGGCTCCTCGCCCAGGTGGAGTGGGTGGTGCATGGGATGAGAGTGGGTGTGAGGGTGGGCGGAATGAGGCGGATGCGGGTGGTGGTGGGTGGCGTGAGCCAGAGACGGGTGATGGTGGCGCTCTCCTCCCCGATCTCCCCGGCCCGCCCTCTCGGCCGCGCCTCTCTCTCCGGAGAGGCCGGCCTTGTCGGCGGCGGGCCGGTGGGGCTGAGGGATGACGATGTTGGGGTACTGGAGGAAAGCCCGGGGGCTGAGGCCGTAGTTGTATACCGACTGGGTGTGGGCCTGCAGGTAGCGCTTCATGTCCTCTGGGTTGAAGGAGAAGTGGGAGCCCAACATGGGAGACAGGGTGGGGGAGGGGGTGTAGGGCAGGTGAGAAGACGGGGTCATGGGGGAAAGGGGAGGGGCTAGCAGGCCGGCTCCTCCTGGCCCCGGCAGGGGGGAGACCGGGAAGGGCGACAGGGAATCCGGGTGGATCCGGTGCGCCGCGTGGCGGGAGCCCGGGTGCCCGCCGGGGTTCCCCGGTCCTCCGTACATGCGGAACAGGGCTTCATGGGACAGGCGGGGGTGGATGATGCCCCGGTAGCCTCCTCCGCCGCCGGGTCCCCCTCCGCCACTCACGCTCCTCTCGCCCCTCTCCTCTCCCGCTCCGCCGTTGCCCTCCTCGATCTCGGAGTTGACCGAGGTGCCGTCGCTGCAGTCGCTGACGGAGCCCCGGGCCATCCGTCGGGCCACGGAGCTGAACATGCCGCCGGGGCTGCGCAGGTCCTCGTTCGGGGAGAGGACTTCGGAGGGAGTCGAGGGCGGAAACCGGAAGTGAGTCCCCGCACCGGTGGGGACAGGGAGGTGCGCTCTGAGGAACACTGCTTCCTGGAAACACCAGGGGAGGGAGGGAGAAAAAAAGGAGATGATAGAACTACATGTAAGTTTCTCCAGTGTAATCCTAAGGTAATCGTGCGGTCCCATGGGGAATCAGGAGGTATCTGAAAACTCACAAGCTGGTGTACACACACACAGACACACACACACAGCGATAGACAAGGCTTACGGGTGGAGCCCATGTCGATAAGGGGGTAGTTGACCAAGACCAGCTTATTGAAGTTAAACTTGTAGGTGAACTTCTTTCCTTTGGTCTTATGGAGGATCCTCTTGTTGTAGTAGTATCTGAAAAGGAGGATGACAACAGACATGTTATTTAATATGAATAATATGTGCGCAAGAAGTAACTCGCTCGCGCGCTCATAATGCCCGTGAAGACAAATACACAGACAAAGCGGGAAAATAACTGCACGGTAACTTATACAACAGCATTGGTGTCTCCCAAAAATCTGTGTAAACTACCGGCCTATTAGCGACGCTGAAACATTCAATCTAAGATGCACACCTCATTTTAAATATAATTATGTCCCTGAACAGAACACAGACAGATGTGCCAGCACACTCATGCACACGCTTTAATAACCACAAGTCTTTCATGTCACCCCCCCACCCCCCCCCCCCATCTAATGATAGATATTAAAGGGTGTTGTATGACATATGCACAAAGCAGACCCAGTAAAGAGAACGCATGCGGAGGGAGGGTGTTGGGGGGGGGGGTTAAAGGAGAGAAAACAGATGGATGGGAAGCAGTGGATGGATTGAGCCGAGGAGTAGCAGGGATGTTGTGTGGAGGGATAAACAAACACTTAAGAGACCAGAGGTCAGTGCTTAATGCCAAATGTGGGACGTAAATGGGTCGTAAGGCCACAGGGGGCGTGTCAGCAATGTGTGACACTTGCGTCCGGGACTCGTGTTACTTTGCTGGGATTTTGTATGCGCGGTGTATTAAGATAATCTAAACCGGTCTAAGGAGAAAGTGTCTTTTAGAGTGTTTCCTGTTCAGATATCTGTTTCCATCATTCAATCTGCTACATGGACCCATCGCTTTATGTAACAGCAAAGCAAAGCCAGCAATAATTCTACCCATTTCTATCTTTTTATGTAATGGCCATTCTCTCTCTTTTTTTCCAATTTAGCTTTCTCTCTTTCATGGCTTCAGCCTACAGTACGAGGCTCTATTTATGTTCCCCGTTGTCCGGCTCCATCTCTTTATGTAACATCACTCTGCTTTCTACCCAGATCCACATGCACTTTATGTAACCTCTACGTCTCCGGCGGCCAGTCCCCCTCACACTCACACTGACGCAGACAAAGCCAAAGACGTACACGCGGGACAAAGGCGGGGCCAGTCTGCCCCTCCGAGATAACGAGTTTGTGCGGCGGGCTGACCAAAAACCACCGCCCGCCTTCCCCGACGCGACCTCCGGCTACCGGACGTTCGATTCTACCGGGCGGCGCGGGGGCTCGTCGCGTCGGCATGGCTACCTGCCTCTACAGCAGACGGCTCGGCTTCCCTTCCTCCCGCATGCGTCTGCCGGCACCAGTTAAGTGAAGTGTGCTGACAGAGACGGGGCTGCAGGGTATGTAGGTGATGCAGAGTTAATGCGGGCCCATTCACTGTCATTATGCTGAATGGTAGTTATCCAGACGGGAGTGTGTGTGTGTCTGTTTGGTGTTGGGGAGGTGTCACCCTTCACCCCCTCTTATTATGCTTATTATGCAGACGAGTTGGGCCCATTTGGCTCTGGGAACAGACTGTTGCTCTTTTTTCACTTGTTCTCTTCAACCCCTCCTGCTGCTCCTCCTCCTCATCCTCATCCTCCTCCTCCCCCCTTCAGGCTACCAATACCTCTCCCCCCACCACCACCCCCTTTTTGATCCAACTCTCCCTGCGCTGGGCACTTGTCCCCCGAGGCGATGGGAGAGACAGGACGGGCCTGCACCGTTGAAAACATTGTTTACTCCAGGCACAAAGCAGCATGTAATTTCTGCTTGGGGGTCACGGGGGGGGGAGACACTACCGCGAAGTAAGCTAGGCGAGGCAGTCCGGAGCAACACACACACACAGACACACGATGGTACACGGACTGCATGGAGAGAGTCAGAATCCAAAGTATCTGAAAAATCATTTGTTTTCCTGTATCAGGGACGTCGTGATCATACAAAACAGGTACGCTTTGGTACGTAAAGACAAATGCAACAATTCAACTTTCGACTTTTTCTCCACACAATTTATAAAGACAGACTACAGATTTGTGAAAAGTTGAATCAACTCTCTGAAACTTAAGCGGTGCGTTATGACGGTGAAGTTTACTGTGAACCGCATTCCTTTTAGAAAGGTGTACCTTAGTGTAGAATTAATATGGCCAATGATATCGACGTGCTGACGCGTTGGCTCACGGGCGCTGGTCTGTAGAGAACGTAGCCAACAAAAATCTTGTGACGGCTTTGCTGCACCCACACACGCACACGCGCAGCCAAAACAAAGAGTGCAGAAATGCACGCGGGGAAGCAGACAACAACTTTGCGTAATCCTAGCCGCGTTTAGAGCACACTGTCGCCCCTTCTTTCTCCAAGGCCCCACCTCTCGCACCATCATGCAAGCAGACTTTGAAGAGCATTTGAACTCACTTCAAAAGAGAAGAAAGAGATTCTTTGGGTGCCTGTGTTTAGCTGCCCAGCACACACACATATGCACACACACACACACAGATTCTATAACTGCCGTCTTATTCAGACGTACTCAAACACATGGGGACACGTGTGCCCACACATGCCCACTGAACGTGTCACCCACGAGGTGCAGCTTCACCTCCCTGTTTAACCTAAAGAGTGCACTGACCAAGATCCATGCAAATCCTTCAGGGGGCCAGAGGGGGGCATTTCTTTCAGTGCAGTTGTTACTGTGTGTGATTTTAGGCCAGGGATTAAAGCTGCGATTACACAGACCTGCTATGGTCTGAGACATTATGATCAAAGAATAGAGCGAGAGGGAGGGATGGACACACACACACACTCACACAGACACAAGGTTTGAAGCATTAAACTACACTACCACTACTTACCAATGTGCTACGTCATATTCTTTTTCATACAGATGTCATTACAATATGTTTTTATTTGAATAACGACTTTAGCTAAACCCTACCAGTCCATTTAACAAAGAAGCCACGCTGTGTCACACAACAGCCCATAACACAATCAAAAAGGAGATTATTAGCCGTTTGTTACAAATTCATTTACAAGTTATTTATAGCTGCGTCCACAGTTCTATTGGAGATGATAACATTGTATTGCTCAAGTAATTCCTGAGATCAGAACATTTGGCAACAACCTAGAAGCTTGTTTGCAGAACATGCAAATGTTTGGCTGTGTTTGTTGCCCCATTAGACTATCAGGACATTATTCAGTTACAGCGTGTGTTTGTGGGTAAGATGGGAAATTTGACTAAATGGATTGTATCTGTACACTGAGTTCTGGCCCAAACCTGTACGCAATGGCCAACATTTTATACTATGACATGATAACTGTACACACGCCAGCACTAAAAGGGAATTAAACCAACCCACTTGTGTGCGTGTGTGCGTACAGGCGGTGCCTTGCCCATTGTTGGACTGTAAATAGGCGCTGACGGTGACAGGAAGTTGGGATTACAATACTCCCCATGAGCCCCATGTTTATTTTCTGCCTCTTTCGTCAGCATCAGTTGTTAAGCACACATCCCAGCTAGATCTTTGCCTGTGTGTGTGTATACACACTCTATATGTTTGTTTGCAAAGAGGGGGATCAGGTCAGGGTGCCGTTTCAATGGTCACATGCTCTGTGGGTGGCGCGAATATGGACTCGAGCACACTCTGGTGTGTGTATTCTGCCCCCATAGAAAATAAAGGGCTCATTCAGTCAGGGACAAAGCCACACACACACACACACACACACACACACACAATGCTCATGTACCCTGAACACATGCATGCTGCAGAAAGACAATGGAAAGACAGTGCACGCCAGCATACGCAGAACATAAAGTCACACGGTGGTGGTACTGTCCCTGGTTGCTCCCTCGGCACGTTCGCCGCGGCCCTCGGTGTTTCCACACAATGCGCTGATGTAGAGGGAGGCCTTCTGACCTATGAACTGGCCCTGCCGGTTAGGGCATTGGGGTTAAATCAAGCGAAGCACTTTATTAATAGGTAGGGGGAATTACACCCGCAGCCTCCAGTATTAGACCCACGTCCTCGTGTAGTTTTAGCACTCAATGGTTGACACCATCAACCATTTGAATGTTTTTTTTTTCCTCCTGTGGTGGCAATTTTCCAGCTGCGGCGACCAATCCTGTTTCAATGGATGTCAGACATGAAGCAAACCCCACAAACATGAATAGCCAAGAGTCTGCGTACAATGGCGCATTTGTGTATGTGAATGTGCACATGTGCCGTGTTGTTAATCTTTGCCAGCTGTGTTCTGTTCCCCCCCCTCCCCTGCTGACCTCTGACCACTGTGTTGGAGCCATGTGCGGGCTGCTGACTAGAGGACGGGGGGGGGGCTGGAGTCCTCTAGGAGCTGGGACCTCTTAGCATGATTACACTCATTAAGCCAGCACTCGGCAACAACTGATTGAGCAACAGCCTTAACTACCCCTACTGTTGTTTGTGGACCAGCGCAGGTCTCAATCACCACAGCCAGCAAGGAATCAGGAGGAGGGAGGGAAGGGCTTGGCCTTTCTATTTTGATTTACTTCCCTATCCAAAAACAAAAGCAGCTGACGGTTGAAGATGGTGGACTTCCTGTCATTCATGTCAGAATGAGCCCTGAATATCCAAGAAAAAAAGTGAGGCAATCTACACTGGTCCAACTGGAAAGCGTCTTTTAGAGAATAAGTTCAGAATGGAGCCGACACACTCAAGTTAACAAAAAGAGCAACCTCATATACGACTGAATTCAAATGCAGACAAAACTGGGAAAAATGAGTTAAACCTCCTTGAACATCAAGCATGTCCACACGGACAGAAACGGGCACACACTTGCAAATAAACGCACACGCAGTGGGAGTGTAATCCTCCCAACAAGAGTGGGAACACAGCGTCGTGGGAGCGGCAGACCAAGATGATGCACGGGCCGAGGCTGTGTCCCTTCAATGGAAAGCCGCGCACACACATACACACACACACACACACACACAAGCTGTGCGGATTTAGGGAATTTCCACCATGTGCATGGGGGACATGAAAGAATAAGGTGCAAATAATAATTACCACAGCTATGTGATAAAAAGAACACTTTAAAACAGGCGTGCCTTTTCATGTCCGTGAGCATGTGCGGTTGCCACATGTCGACCATGGCCTCGGCCCTTAGCAGCCTCCAGGTTTTCTCCGCATGAAGGGCACGGGGTGGCCTGCTCTCCAACAGTCTGCTCCACATGTGGACTGGCATCGCTCACACGTGTGGTTGTGAACTCAACTTCATTGATCTTTAGTGCCACCATCATTCCTTCCTGGCTTCCTTTCCTGCGTCTGGCGGGACGAAGGTCCGGCGACAGCTCCAGTGTCAAATCAGGTGACTACGTGCACGTGTGCGCGTGTATGTGTGGGGTGTCATGTCCCCAACACTCTAAGCCTGAAGTGACTCCAATCAATTTACAGGAACGGAAAGACGACCTGGCTGCAGGAGGGCGGATGAGGACACGAGAGAAGACTTCTCTAAGAGAGTACTAAGACCGGCTATATATAAATATAGCACTATATATATATATATATAGTAGGGGTGTAACGATTCATTTTAACAACGATTCGAATCGCGATTCATGGTTGCCGATTCGATTCATGGACGATGTGGGTTAATTTAGAACGATTCAATTCGATTCGATTCAGTGACTTAAAATCGATTCAGTAACTTTACTGGACAGTGTAGGCAAAGTTTTTGAGATCCCTGTTGTTTCTTGTAAGGAAATCAGGTTTAAATTAATTATATTTAATTAAATAAATTATAATATATTGGATATTATAAACAAGCAAACAACAATTAATGGCAAATGTATTAACCTTTTATTTGAATCAAGTGCCATTTTCAATGTAAACATTACACAATAATTACACAATGTTTGGATCAATTCACAGAACCCCGGATTTCCAACCACATTGTAGGGTCGCATGTCTTTACAGATAAACTTGGCAATTGTTACTGTGATGTTGAGTTTGGTGCTGGCGAGGCCTGAGGTGTCTGCAGAGCTGGAGTTACCTGCTGCTGCTGCTGCAGCGGTGACGCTGCTAGAGGAGCCTCACTGCCGGCGTTGTTTCATCCCACGGCGCCATAGTAGATGGCCGGAAAGATTTGTCGTGTTTGCGTGGTTTTTTATTTGTCTTCTACATATTCTACAAACAGCGACCGACTTATTTAGAACACCTCCTTGTTTGCAAAAGCTAAAATGTTTCCACACGCTGGATCGATAAGTTGGTTTGTAAATGTCTCGCTCGCAGTCGTCTCCTCCACGCTGTGTTTTGTTGTTGTTCCGATTTTTGTACTGATGACGTCACAGACAGGCAGACTGAATCGAGTAACGTTTAACGTGTCTAAAGTGCTTAAAAACAAACACGCATCCATGCCGTTTTTGTACTTGTGAAGTTTCCAAGTATCGATACAATCGATTGTGTACCATTTCAATCGATTTGTAATCGATATATGTCGTCCGGAATGCCGATTTGCGGAGCACGGATTGATTCAGTTGGATCGCAGGAATATAAATCGATTAATCGATTCAGTGAATGAATCGTTACACCCCTAATATATAGTGTGTGCAGCATTAAGCTCCAAATCTGGAACCGCTCTACAGGGTGTACATGCTATAAATACACAGCTTGGTCACAAGTTCGCTGTCCATTCAGGAACCCTGAAGCTGGACTCCAAGTCTGATTTTGCACGAGTGTCCATCACATCAAAGTCCATGTTAATTCCCCCAGTCCCCATAGGACGTCATCTGTAATATTATTATTTCACGGGGTCTACACTACACAGGGAATGAGATGCTCTTCTTACCTCCAGGGATGTGCAGCGCTGAGCTCTGGAGTGCCGAGAGGTCATTGAGTTAAAGTATGGATCACGAGATTGATCGGATGTATCTCCTTTCTATAATCAAACTAAGTCGTGTCCCACTGTCTTGTCGCGAAGCCGAAAGCGCCAATAAAATCAGAAGCGTCTGTTGTGGCGCTCAGATTCTATCCTTTTATGAGGCTTGGGTTTTCCGTCGCGGACGGCCAACTACTGTGATGGTCCTGAGGCAATTTGCTTTATTGATAAGTTGGTCGAATTTGATTTACCGCTTGCCTAGCAAACCCAATTCCAAGGTTATCAAAGCTGATTCAAATCGACCCTTGGATGCTAAGTGCCACAAAAAAAACAACAGAGGGCCAAAACTAATGTTCTGGTGAATCATGGTGGACGATTCATATTAAAGACTAATACTGGACGGATGGCAATAAAATCAAATAATTCAATGTGATTTGCCAAAGCTGTATCAAAATCCCTGTCTTACTTGAGCCAGCGTCCATGGATAAACCCTAAAGGTTTCAATGTGTGACCGGCCTAACGAGCCAGTGTTGTGACTCTACTTGGAGCATAATAGTAGCTAAACTTGTCCAGGTCAAAACCGTGTCATGGCATGTGGCCTGAGTCACTCTCGTAGACTATTATAGACTTGGTTAAATGCTATTAGTGTCTTATCAGTCATGACTAATGCACGTTTGAGCAAAACAGAGCCAAAGAGCGGAAGCTATTCGGGTCTGTGGGTTTGAATGAAATGAATTCAGCAGATGCTGAAGTCACAGCGGAGGGAATTCTCAATCCGGAATACGGATTCTTCACAACTAATGGAGTGTCTCTTAGTGTGTGAGATTTATAAGACCATTTAATACATATTTTCACCAATCCTAGTTATCAACAGGTGTCCCCATCCTTTTCTATGGAAACCATATTACTGTTGGAAAGGAGGTAGCAGTGTTCTTGGCCTCATGATGAAGTATTATCAAGTATCACTTCAGGAGTTTAAGAACACAGGTGACAGAGTGAGTGATCTGCTGCCTTTAGGCACAGTGCTTTCTTCACATTTTCCTTCTACCGCCAGACAATGTCCCCAGTGAAGGTCAACACCCCCTTTCCTTGTTCAGAAGAGCCCGGGGAAGGCACAGGCTGTCCTTCTTGAAATATCTGGAAAGGGAGCAATTTCACCCCCTATCCATTAGCTGAAACCAGGGGCAGTACTATTTCAGGCACATTCCCCTCCATAAAGAGGACGTCAGAGAGCGTCACTCAGCCCACAGACCAGTCACAGGACTGTGGTTCCAGGTAAACTGCTTTGGGCGACAGATTGCTGCGAGCTAGAACGTCGGGTTTGGATTCAGAGCAAGACGCATTCATAAAGGTCTTTGAATCACTTGTTAGTGTTGTATAGGAATATCAATACAAGTTCATTTTGTTCTCGTTTGTGGAATCTGAAAAGTTAATTAGTCTTATAATTGGCGCATAATGGATCTTTCATTATTAGCATGTGCTAATTGGTCATGTTCAAATGTTCCTCCTTGTGACAATCCTCAGCTCATCGGGTACGTGCTCTGGTCCCGGCACCGGAAACTTCAATGAACTCACACTTCCACATACAGAAATACATACATACACAAAGAATCAAACACACTCAGCAAGCTGGTTGTACCTGAGAGCCCTGCTCAGCTTATCGTAGTTCATTTGGGGTTTACACTTCCTGGCCCCCCACAGACGGGCCACTTCGTCCGGATCCTTGATGACAAACTCGCCGTAGTCCCCCTGCCAGGCGATGACATCATGATACTCTTCTTTCCTGAGCAGCTCCAGGATAAAGTGCCAGAGCTGGATCTGCCTGGACCCCGGGCTCGACTCGGGCTTGTAGGCCCATTCTGGGAAGGCGATCCCTGTGAAAAGAGAGATAAGAGAGCGGAGGGGTTAGTGTGCGGCACCGAGGCTCCACGAACAACGGTGAATGAGGTTGTGGGACAGCACATGTTAGAAATTACACGGAAGAGGACACCGCTTCATCTGAGCGACGTGGACCTCAAAAGAATCCGTTGAAATCCGGTTCTATTCAGTGGAGACCTTTACGGCGAGGCTAAAGATACAGGTAGAAATCTTGGTGAGGGGGGGGAGTCGCATTCATGGTACCGTAAAATAATGATTGGGTCAGCTAGGCTGTTTCACCCCTTTCCAGATGGTCTGGGATGCAGCTGAATGAAGGAAGGAGATCTGCGCACCTTAGAACAACAACATTAGATAAGGTAATCTTAAGCTTTTATTCAGACTGTATTCTTCTATCGTCATTACCACCGTAGCCCTTCTAAGGAAACGCACACTGAAACCACAATACCAGAAGCTGTAGCGTAAGTGGGCTCCATGCAACAGTTGGGCACCGAAAAACCTCTCCAACTCTCCTCCACCTCTTTCCTCTAGTGCAGTCACCGTTTCCTGTGACTGGAGGAAAACAACTCGGCCAGTCATCTCTCCTGTCTATCACTCCATCTCTCTCCACCCCCAGCTCGGAGGGGGGGGCGGAGAGCAAGAGACTCAGAACTAGACCGTGGGTGCGGGACTGTTAGCCAGAACACGTGTGTGCCCAAAATGTGAGAGTTAAAAAAATAAATTAAAAAAAATGACTTTCTGCGCCAGCGTTCGTGTTCGAAAATGTTTATGCAATTCTCCCACTGACATTCTGTTGCCTGGGTTGTGAAGGTAATCGGACACGACAAAATGGACTATTGCAGTAAGACATTCAGCGTGATGTAGCCCGGACTGGATTGTATTCAGCAGTCATCCACATCGGAGTTATCAGGGTAATAGCATCCGCGCTGATGAAGTGTCGTTTTGCTGTGGATTTAGTGCCCGCTGATGTTATTCTATAATGTTTGGTCCACATTACACCAGCTGCCCAGAATACAAATGTAGCATGTCGAATACAAGACCATAGCAGATAAGTGTGCTTTGCCCCAATTGGTAAAACTGAGTCACGTACATGGAGGAGGACTATTAAAAACACACACACACACACACACACACACAGGCCGCCTCCTTAATTAAACCACATAAACAACCCTGTGTCACGAGCAAAATTAATTGAAAGTTGTACATTTTAGACACTTTGTGGTGAATATACAGTATAAGGCCAACATGAAACCGCTGTTTGAGACGCACCGCATGCACATGGCAACAGAGAAAATGAGACAAGCCGGGTTTGAAATTGGAAGACAAACGGGCACAAATCAACAGATTACAGATGTGCACACTCGTCAATGGATTTGCAGGATGACAACCCGAGGCGGAGATAGATGGACCTGATAATCTCCGCTGCACTGGCCTGTTCAGACCACTTAGTGTTGCATAACAATAAATAATCCAGATAGTACATTCCTTTATATTTCTATGCAACGCTGGCTAATCCCCCCCGCCGCCCCCTATTTCTTGGTGGGTTTCTTCCGATCCCAATGATGCGCTTGGAAGGCATGGTCAATGAATCACTCAGCTGCCCCCACCTATTTTGTGACTCAATTAAAGAATTTCAGAATATCAGTCTGACAATATGCCTACACACTTTCCATAATGTGAAATGACCACGGGTGTAAAAACTGCATAAACTGGGCAGTCTGTGTTTGTTATTTCTCAGACTTTCCAGCCATGCATAAGATGGAAGCAGATAGCATGCAAATGAAACACTCCTTCGATGTTTATTTCCCTTTTCACTTCCCACCCTCCTCCTCCTCCTCCTCTTCCAAACATTCAAACAAACACTTGATGCACGATCAAACCCCCGAGTGAGCTTCAATCACAGTGGCTCACACCGGGGGAGAGCAATCATAAACATATTGGCCCGGCTGAACCTCCAACAATAACACTAACCTCACACACGCACTCCTTCTCCCGATTGCCAGCCGGACGGAATCAGATGTCCGTACGATGCTGACCATATCTTCCTCAGACTGCTTTTTAGAGTTTAAGCAAAGTCAGTGACTTTGAGAGCATGTGTGAGCCAGTCAAGATGCATCCGTAATGATCCTTTTGACTTTAGCATGGACCACAGAGGTCACTACGCGCACGCACACACATCATATGTCAGCTCCTTGAAATGGATCCCATGTAAATACTTAGAAGACCGGTAGCCGGGCTTATGGGTGAATGAAGTTAAGAGGACATTCTCAACCTGCAGTGAAGCTACCATATCGCAAGTGTGTGAGTGTGTGTGTGTGTGTGTGTCTGTGTGAGAGAGACAGAGAGAGTCAGGGTTAGGTTTAGAGGAATGCTGAGAGCAAGAACAGGTGCCTTTGTCCTTCCATCAACCAACCCAGGCTGAGCTGTCCTGACTCTCACTGGAGCAGCTATCACACACACACACACACACACACACACACACACACACACACACACACACACACACTTTCATCAAGCCTTTACACCCAATAGAAGAATTTCAAAGGGGAATTTTTGGTATGGGTGCATGTATGTGTGTACGCAGTTGGGTTATGGAGGAGAGCAAGAGAGAGAGGAGTGGCAGGGACGAGCCTGCAGAGCACGGCCTAACCCCCTCCACCACACTTAACCTCTCTGACCTCGTCTCTCCCTCTGGCTCCCCCCCAGCCTCCCGGGGGAGAAACTAGATAGCCATTACAGCATGCATGCATGAGACTCCCTCACACACACACACACACACACACAAGGACAGACTAGGCATCAATAATGTATAAACTGGTGCAGAGGGTTGACGATAGGGGTGCGCCTAATCTCTGGCCTGGGACACTAGAGAGTGCAATTGCGTCAAGAGGTGTGCATGTGTGTGTGTGTGTGTGTGTGTGTGTGTGTGTGTGTGTGTGTGTGTGTTGGGACAAGAGTGGGGCAGGTGGTAGAAAATGATGCAAAAGGGACGAAGAGGACGAAGGGGAGAGAGGAGTGCCAAAGGACGGAGGGAGGGGGGGTTCAAAGTGAAAGAGAAGAAGGCAAGACGAGATGGGCTGAGCAGTGGGACAAGTGCGGATCAGAGAAAAGAAAGGTGGGAGGAAAGAGGAATGGGGGTGGGGACCCCAGGGAAACAAAATGTGGAAGAGGGAGAAAAAGAGACAATAGCAGGAGTTGGAGAGGGGGTGGATGGAGGCAAGGAAGGAGGAGGAGGGGGGAAGGTTAAGGGAGCGATGAGATCATAGCTTGTCTGGTAGTCTGTTGTCATCCAGATCAGATTGCTTGCTTGCCCCCCTCCCCCGCCCCCCCCCCCTCCTCTCTGGGAGTGCGGATGCCTCTTTTCCTCCGTGTGATCTCGGTGGCAGGCCCCTAGCAGACTTACAACACGGCTGCTATTCCAGCTATGTGTGCCACTCACCCGTCCAACAATGACCTCCACACACACACACACACACACACACACACACACACACACACACACACACACAGACATACACATACACACACACACACACGGGGGGGGGGGAGAGAAAAGACGAGGATAACAGTAGATTTGTCTGCATTATGACACATGTCACACATAGAAACTGATCAAATCATAAGTGGAGTCTATCACCCATGACTTGTACTGTACGCGGGTAGAGCGGGTCGCCCTTCAAACACCAGGGTGGCTGTTTGATCCCCTGCTCTAAATGGAATAGAGGCCATGAGCCGGACGGTGAACTGCAAGTTGCTCCCCATAAACTCGACTTTTCCTTTGTTTATATGATGGTAGACAGTTGAGTTTACGACTACTTGTAGCAACGCAACATATGTACATGCTGCCATTCAACAAAAAACACAGTTGCTGGCCGTGATGCACCTAAAAGATGCAACACACCAGGAAAGGCGAGAAAGAAAAAGACTAGCAAGCAAACATGGATGTCAACCGTGCAAGCTTTGCAATTGTTGCCGTTGGAGCCGTGATTGTTTGCAGAAAGCCCCACGTGGCAGCTTTGTCCGGACAACTTTGTGTTTTGGACGGTTGGACGAAATATCCTTAATTGAGAAAACTCTCCCTCGAGAAAATAAAACGGCAGATAGAGATGAAAACAATGGTTAGTTTCCACTCTGAAACGCGCCTTAAGGGGCATGGCTGACTGGATCCTCAGACACAGGGACGAAGTGGCAAGGAGAGCTGACGGGAAGGAGGCGGAGACAGCCAGGCAGTTAGACAAACCAGTGGAGTGAGAAAAAGAGATTCCCACAGCCGCGAGTCCTACTCAGCAGTGAATCAACTGACAAGCCAGTGCCAAACTAACAGGGGAGTTGCAGACCCAGGATTTTTTAAATATTTTTTTATATACAGGGCCTCTGAACAGCCATTAGAGCGCGTTGGCTGGCACCGCGCTTCTTTAACCCAGACTGTGGGAAGCGACCAGTTCAGGTGTGCGTGTGTGTTTGTGCGTAAGCGTGTGTGTGGGTTAAGTGAGTGAGGTCATTGTCGGCTCTGAGAGTCTGTAAAAGTGCAAAAAAAAGTTGGTATTTTGGCCGTGGCGCATTGGCGCGCGCGCGCGCGCACGCACACACGCAAACACGCACACACACACGCACACACACACACACACACACACACACACACACACAGCCTCGTCTTTGTCACGGCTGCTTAGAAAAGGTGAAACTGCCTGAAGCTGAGAGTTCGGGGAACAGAGAGGACAGAAACACAAGACCCGGGGATGAGAGAGACAATAAAAGACTTGGGTGGGTTAGACAGAGAAAGTGAGGGAAAGAGGAGAGGAAAGGAGAGGGGTGGGTGATGTTGGGGAGGGTAATCAGAGCCCCTGCGCCTGAATCCCAAAGTGTCTGGACTCTTCCCACCAGGTCCATTAAAAATGCATTAGGCCAATACACAAGGAAGATGAGAGAGTGAGACACAGAGACAGAGAGAGACAGACAGGGAGAGACGGGGACAGAGAAGTTAGGAAATACATGGATG